AAAAAAAAAAAAAGAAGTTGAGGAAAATGGTTCATTAATTCAAATACTATTTTCAAGTAAGCCTTGCTGATTCATTCTTACCCTTTACCCAAAGATAGTTGTATTTAAAACAGCATTAAGTTGCTTTGATTACAGCTCTGACATGTAGCACAATGTAAGTGTATAAATTATTATTTATGTCTTTTTCCCCTAATCATTACGAAACTTTCTAAATTCTAGACTCTTCAGTGGAAGAATTACAACATCTGTCACAAAGAAACTTACTTAGCTTCTTTCCACTAATAACTGAATGCCTCGGGTCAATCTGGTGTTTAGGTAAGAAAGGTTGTTTTGTATATAATGTTCTCTTTTTTTTTTTTTTTTTTTGGAGACAGGGTCTCCCTGTCACCCTAGCTAGAGTGCAGTGGCATCATCATAGCTCACTGCAACCTCAAACTCCTGGGCTCACGAGATCCTCCAACCTCAACCTCCCAGAGTGCTAGGATTACAGGCGTAAGCCACCATGCCAGGCCCATAAAGTTCTGACTGAAACATTCTCCCTACCAGTTATTCTGACTACTTCAGGTCTCAGTTTAGAAGCCTTTTCCTGCCCAAAGACTTGTCTAACCAAGTCTGGGTTTTTGGGCCATTCAACGTGCTCTCACAGCATCTTGCACCACTCTCTCCCCATCACACCCACCCCAAACACTAATATAGTCCATTTGTCAGTTTCCCCCAGGAAGTAGATTGTGAGTACAGAGCCAAAAAGAGCAGGGTTTATCTTGTTTTCATTTGTATTCCCAGTTCTAAACACAGTGCTTGGCACATAGTAAGCATTCAAAAGTTGGAGTGAAATAATTTTTTAAAGTTTAAGAAAAGTGGATTCTGAGCAAAATAGATGGTATAGTTATTTGGCTACCACACTCAATTCTCCTTCTCATTCTCTTGCAACGCTAGAACTGTCCAATCACATTACCACTTATGAGCAGTTTAAATCTAATATACCTTTTGAAAGTAAGGGCTAGACAATTATAAATACTATGACCTCTCTGAGACTACTGTCCTGACTTTGGCGTTGCCACCTTGCATAATTATAAAGATAATCTTAGGAGTAAGGTCGCTCTGACACTCACTTTAGCAACTGAGCAACCACAAGCTTAGAGAAGCCAGCAACATTACTAAACTCAGGGCACCTAGGTCCATTTGACTTCCAAGTCCCCAAATCTTTTTTTACTAGGCATGCTATTTAGGCTAAAGACAATGAATTGTACAATTGTCCTTTAAACCTGGCCAAACAGGAAAAAGTGTACAGGAGATTAGGTAAATAATTACTTCTTAACTGGGCCTTGAAAAACATGGTTTTGGGCCCTAGAAAATTAGTTAGTTGTGAGGGATTCATGAAAATTTTGCATTTTCCTCCTTTCAAGGTCACTAGTCAGATAAAATATATTTTGTATTAATATCGGTCAATTTTTTCTTGGTACACACTAATATTTAATAACCAGTAACATTTATCAAGTGCTTACTATGTGCCAGGCTATATGTACACCAGTTACATTATTTCATTTCATCCTCCCCACAACTCTGTGAGGTAGGTATTACAGCCACTTTTCTGATAAGGAAACAGATTCTGAGAAGTTAAGAGACTCTAAGATCACATAGCTCATAAGAGGAAGAGACAGAATTGGAAGTGGGGTTTGTCTGCTATTAAAAACCTAGTTGCTTAACCAGATCATGGGCATTGATATTTTGGTCAATATTTAACTAGATAACTAGAGAATGCAGAACAGCTAGAGACAGTGCAACACCCAGTAAAAATAAAACAAAAACACAGATTTGGAATTAAATTCTTATTAGGGAAATGCTTTTACCCTTGTAATTCAAATTGGTAATGTACTGATACTTATATGTATCAGAAACAGAGCTGAGGAAATATTAGCAAGAGAGAAGTAAATCTTTATGCATCAAACTTTGCGATAAATTAACAATTCCAGTTCAAATGGGTTTCTAAAACAACGAATTAATGAGACAACAGCCATCACAGATCTATGCGCCCTAAGAAGCCTGAGTTCTTACAAGGAGTAGTTTGTGTCCAGTATTTGCGCATAAAGAAAGAAAACTTTTTCTGCTGCGCTAATTGTGCTAAAGTAGCACAAATGGGCAAGACATTTATGGGCAGGTCTCCCAGTTATTCCAAGTCCATTGAAGTTAGGCCTCACTTCAGCTCCAGCACACATGAATGACTCAATATAAACTTTAGCAAACTTCTGTAGAGTCCAGAAGACTTTAATCTGTTTTTATGAAAATGGCTGAATCTTCAACGTTATGCTTGTTTTAACTAGCAAAAATCTAGATCCAGTGCTTTAATTTTAATAAGTGCTTCTGCTTTAATTTTACTTCGGTGTTCCTAGTAGTGGTCCATTTAGCAAACTAAAGACCTCCACATTTAGGGTCTCACGATGCACACAAATGCAAGATGACCTAAGGTCACTGAGAAGCTTCGCAATGCCCGCCTGGCTACTCCAGCGCGAGCGGCTACTTCCCTGCGGGGACCAGCCCACACACCACGGCCCGGGGTCCCCGCAGGCCTCCCCCTCCCACTCCTTGTACAAAGACCGCTCCTGTCTCCGCACGCCTGCTCCGGAGGGGGAAGCGGCCGCATATCTAGAGATCCCCGACAGGAAACAGAAGCGCGGGGCAGGACTGGCGCTCGCTCCGCACAGGTGGCTCAGGCGTGGGAACTCGAACCTCTCCACGTCCAGCCCTGCCCCGGCAGAGCGGGCCCAGGCGCGAGGGAGGGGCCCGGCTCGCCCACGTGCCTGCTGTGCTCACCTGAAAGCAGAGTGGGTCCCGTGCGCAGCGTCCGGACGGCGCCCGCCCCCAGCCGCCAGGGCCGCGGCGGGCAGGGCGCGGCGGGCGCCGAAGCCGAGCGCAGGCTGCAGGCCACAGCCCGCACGTTCCGCGCCGCTCGCAGCGCCATGTTCGCAGGGTACTGAGGGTCGCGGCGCAGCGCCTCGGCCACCCGGACCAGAGGGGTAGTGTGGGGTCGGGCCAGGGGGCGGGGCCCGTGCAGGGGAAGGGGGCGGGCCTGGCAGAGCCTGGTTGGACAAAGCTCGGGGGGGCGGAGATGGCGCGATGGCGGATAGGGCGACGCGCGAGAGGGGCGTGGACATGCGGACGAGCCTGAAGCCCGGATGAGGCAGCACCGAGGGGCGGGGACTAGCGCTGCGGGCCGCCGGGAGAAGGGGGCGGGGCCTTGCCCCAGGCGTCGGTTCTCAGCTAGTGAAAGTGCCGGGTCAGCGGCTCCAGGGTCCAGCCGGCCTGCGGGGTGTGCCGAGGGCTACGTAATCACCGTCGCCAGGAGGATGGCTCCAGGCAGGGATGGCTTTGCTGGGCCGGCATATTCTCTTGCCAGTGAGCTGTGGGTTACTGGGGAGGCAGGGCGCCCAGTCCAGTTAAAGGATGCAGTCCTGCTACAGAGAATCGAGGTCACCCAGGGCTGGACTCGGCCAAGTCCAGCCCAGAATCATTACAGCCGCAGATGGTCGTTGGGCGTTGCCAAAGTCGCGCAGACCCACATGCAGTTCTTCTGACTTTTTGAAATACTGAAAACAGCGAGGAGCCCACTTTATTACCTTACAGAAGGGGACAGGCATTATCAAGAAGCTTATAGAGAGGAAAGGGCTTATCTAAGGGTCAGGAGTGGCTTGATGGATACTGGACCAGAGCCAGTCTCTAATGCAGGAGTGTTCAAAAGGCAGAGAGTTGAGACCCAGAGTGGACAGTTCCTTGCTTAATCACCCAGCCCCGTGACCAAAGCCTTCCGAGAAAAGTCAAAGTCATCATCCTGCTCCAAGAAGTCAGAAGAAAAATTAGGTTCTGGGAAGACTTCACCTTCAACACAGATTTTATGGAGCGGGCATGAGTCAGCAAGGAAACAATAGTGTGAAAAACACCTCAAACTCCACACCTTCAGTACCACAGGGTGGGTACTTCGGAGTGTGTGTGTTTGGGGGTCCCATATGTTGTTGCACTGAGCTTCATCCTGCTTGTGAATTTAGGATTGCCAGCACATCTGCGCAGCAGCTTGCAAGGGCTGTCATGCACCATTGTCCTTTGAGGAGATAGTCACCATCTGTTGAGCCCTTGCTATGTGCCTGGCACTTGCACATCTTATCTTTTTAATCCTCTCCAAAACCCTTTCTGGTAGGCATTACACTCATCTCATAAATGCAGCGCCGAAGGCTCAGAAAGGTTGAGGAACTAGCCCAGGAGTGGAATGGAGGAGACATTTTACACCTTAAGTAGCTCCTAGATGGCAGTAGTAGGACTTAACCTCTAGGCTGACTAAGCAGCTGCTCTTAAACTCTGTTCTTGCCTCTGTCTGAGGTGCTGACTGGATTACACTGGTCTACTCTAAACTCCAGATCTTGGCTACCTTCTATAATGTCACTACTTGTATCATGTCACAATTATATAAAACAAATGATTTTATATAATGGAAATGGATTACCATTACTAAGACACATCAGGATTTACCTTGTGGTGGCTACCGGTGGCCTTTCCAGAGGTCATGTGGGAGAGAGGGGCAAGTATCTACCTGAAGGAGAGCGGGTTTCTCTTGGCAAAGAGGAAAGCATAGAATGGATTAGGGGCAGGGAACCTATAGTATCTGCTGCAGTGGACGTGTGAGGAGGAGGGACGAGACAGGGTGAGCTAGAAAACATGCTGAAAGCTTGCCCCCTGTACACTCATCTGGAGTGACACTTGGAAGCCCTTTATTATCTAGACTTGTGGTTCTCAGAATTTAGAGCATGGTTATCAAGTCTGACTGCCCCAGAAATCACCTGAGGAGCTTAAACAACACCTGGGGCCCAAGCCCAACGATTCTGATGTATTGGGATGAAGTCTGGTGACTCTGGCATGCAGCCAAAGTTGAAAACCACTGGTGAAGATTAATAATTCCCAAAGTATCATCTAAGGAACCCTAGCCCTGAGTGGGGTGCTTCAGTACCTGATACCTTGGTCAGAGGAATTTGGGAATCATTATACACTTCATCTCTCATGCTCAGGGAGACTCTATAGCACACCCCCCACACTGAACATTGAAAACCCTGACAATTTCATGCTAAAGAACCTGTGTAAGCAAACTTTATAACCTACCTTTATTTGATTCAGAAACTTTTTTGGGAGGATGACACTTTTAGGGGATTGAATTGCGCCCCGCAAAGAGATATGTCAAAGTCCTAAGCCCCAGTACTTCAGAATATGACCATATTGGGAAATAGAGTTCTTGCAGATGTAATCAGTTAAGATGAGGCCACACTGGAGTAAGCTGGGCCCTACTCCAACAGGACTGGTGTCCTGATAAGAAGAGAAGAGACAGGGAGGAGAAGAACACGTGACAAGACGGGAGTGATGCTTCTGCCAGCTGAGGAACACCGAGGCTTGCTTGCGGTGGCCCAGAGCTGGAAGAGGCAAGAAGGATCCCTCCCTCGAGCCCTCGGAGGGCACTTGGCCCTGCCAACATCGTGATTTCAGACTTCCAGGCTCCAGAACTGGGAGAGAATACACTTCTCATATTTTAAGCCACCCAGTTCTTGATACTTTGTTCCAGGGAATCTAATACATCATCCATTCGCATCTCTCAGTTGGACACAGTTCAAGAAGCCCTGAATTAGAATAATTTAAAAGCAACCCCTGATCAACCAAAAACATGAAATAATTATTCTGTACAGATTTTTTCTCCCAAGCTCCATACAATATTTGTTTTATTTCTAGGAGGAAATTTGAACAAACAGGCTCTCAACAGTAGTGGCGATTCTGTTTATGTCTGTATTATTCTAATGGTTTTACTTGCTGGGCTTGGTAACTCTTCTGTAGACACAAGACATGCGACCTGGAGAGACTGTAGAATCACTGGTGAGCATAGGCAGGAGGCTGTGGCCTTCCCCACCCAGAGATGGTGGTGGACAAACAGCTTAGACCTTGGGCAAAGCTCGTGCGGGCTCAGGGGACCGAGCCTGGGACAGCGACTCGGGCTGCTCACTGCTGCTTTGAGGCTCTTCTCTTTTATATTTAATGCCCAGGAAACTGAGTATTTTCATCAGCAGCAAGTCTGCAATCTCTCCTTCTTCCGACAGCTGCAAGAGAGAAGGAATCAAGCGATGAATGTAGAACCCTCCTTTCTGGGGGCTTTTCTAAGGGGAAACAATGCTTTTCTTGTCCAATTTGATCCCAGCCTAAGGTCACTCCACTATTCAGAGTCGTTTTGGGTTGGGATGGCCTCCAAGGAACCCCAAGGGTGTGTGCTTCCTCCTTTATCCTCAGTGGGCTCCCTCCTCCCCTCTGCCGAGAATGCCTGGGTTTTGGGGGCAACGCTTGCATTCCCAGAGCTTTGGCTGGGCTGCCGAATCTGAATTTAGGCAGCGCTGATAGCATGTGAACCCACTTCTGAGATGACTGCCACCTGTTTCCCTCTAGGGCAAAGTGTCACTAGTGGCTCTTTCTTTTGTTCTTTCTTGTTCCTTCTGCTTTCCCGGTTTGTCTCCGGGCCTAGCCCCTAGGGAATTTAAAATTAAACTGCTGTTTCTCTCCAGGTTTCCCATGCTTCTCAACCATAGATAGATAGATAGATTTAAAGCAAAGAATAAACAATTTCTAGGAAACAGGAATGGCTGACCACACATAAAGGCCGTAGGTACCAAAATGTCACATTCAGAAAACTGGTCAGAAAACGCACTCTACCATCCCCACAGAGGCTGTTAAGAATTTATGTACAAGAGCCCTTGCACTTCATTGCAGGGGAAATAAAACGGTGCAGCTGCCTTGGAAGATGATATGGCAGTTCCTCAAACAAACACAGAGTCACCGAATGGCCCGGAAATTTCACTTCTAGGTATATGCCCAAGAGAAGTGAAAACATATGTCCACACAAAAGGTTTTACACGAATGTTCATAGCAGCATTATTTATAATGGCCCAACTATGGAAACCACCCAAATGCCCATCAACTAAGAAACACATTTGTGTTCTATCCACACAGGGGAATATTATTCAGCCATAAAAAGAATGACATACTGATACGTGCTATGGCGTGGATGGATCTTGAAAACATGACACTAAGTGCAAGAAGCCAGACAGAGGCCACATATCGTATGGTCTCCTTTATAGGAAACATCCAGACATGAAGTATGGGGAGTGACTATTAATGGGTATGACACTTCATTTTGGGGTGATTAAAATGTTCTGGAATTAGATAGTAGTGATGGTTGCACAACTCTGGGCATATACTAAAAAACACTAAATTGTACACTTCAAAATGGCTAATTTTATAGTATGAATTATATCTTCATTTTAAAAAAGAATTTGTGTGAAACGGATGAGTTCAGTCTTCTGCCAGAAGGAGCCCACTCTGCGAAAGTAATTGCCACTAAAGATGTCCATCTAATTGCCTGTGACCCCCACCTCCAAATTAAGGTACAGTTTGAGCGTGGATATCAGACCAAGCAATGCTCTCTGCTTCCCAGCTAAGGTGAAAATGTTTCCCAAACACTACAGAATCGTTTTCAACATGTCAGAACTTTGCAGGGCGAGTGCACTGCGGTGTAATATGAAATGTATTTGGTCTTTGTCCCTGGTTCCTTTTCCTGAGTGTCAGGAGTGTCTTTTACTATTCAGAATGAGCCCTTTTTGCTCCCACCAGATGTTATGTTAATGAGGTGACTTAGGGTGGGGCCCCTAGATGGCCTCAGGGTGGGGCTGGTCACCAAAAGATCCTCAGATACTCACATCCCGGATATAAAATAGTGTAGTATTTGCATATAATCTAAACCATCCTCCCGTTTATTTATTTATTTTTGTTATTTTTAGAGACAAGTTCTCTCTCTGTCGCCTAGGCTAGAAGTATAGTACTGCAATCCTAGCTCACTGTAACCTCAAATCCTGGCCTCAAGTGAGCCTCCTGCCTGAGCCTCCTGACTAGCTGGGACTACAGGTATGCACCACCACACCCAGCTAATTTTTAAAAATTTTTTGTAGAGATGAGGGTCTCACTATGTTGTCCAGGCTAGTCTTGAACTCCTGGCCTCTAGCCTAATGTTGGCACACAGGCACTCAAAAATTTTTGGATTTTGGAGCATTTTGAATTTCTGATTTTCAAATTAGGGATACCCAACCTGTATAAACACCCAGCTGGTGTCCGTTGGAGAGCTGCTTGGTGCATAGGGAAAAATCCCTGCAAATCTGGTCACAAAAATGTTTTTTGTGCTGAATGAGAGTATAGTAGGAAAAAAAAAACCAGTTTGTATTTTCCTTTTCAGGCACAGATCCAGGACACACACATTACACGTGTGCCAATGACCATCAGCAACAGACGAGGGGCCATCATTCTTTCTTCCTGTGGTCAGTAATTTCCTGGCTTCCAGAAAAATACCTCTCTCTTTAAAATGATCCTTTAACATGGTGGAGTACAGAACCTTTATATAATGTTTTGCAATTTGGAAAAACAGCACCATCAAATCACTGCTCTTGGACAGAAATGAACAAATCAAGGGATAGTGTTAGGAGGGTTTCTTTGTTAGATGTGCAGATTTAAGGAATCTTCCAGCTGGGAAGAGAAGGGTGAGCTGAGGAATAGGTCATCCTTAACACAACCACACCTCCGGCAGAGGAGGGGAAAAAACTACATTGAAATGGAACAGACCCAGGTTCAGATCCCACCTTCACTACTTTCTAGCTCTGTGGTCCTCGGTCCATGATTTCAACTCTCTGAGTCTCAGTGTGCTTCTCTGTAAGACGTGGGTAATTATATCTATTTCACTGAGCTGTTTGGCGAATCAAATAAAATGCTATATGTGAAGCCTTTAGCACAACTCCCATTGTGAAGACAGCCTTCTGTAAGTGGCACTGGTGGTTGTTATTAATCCACAGTCAAGGCCCAGCACAGCAGCTCACGCCGGTAATCCTAGCACTCTGGGAGGCCGAGGTGGGAGGATCGCTTGAGCTCAGGAGTTCGAGACCAGCCTGAGCAAGAACGAGACCCCACCTCTACTAAAAATAGAAAAAATTAGCCAGGCAAATAAAAATAGAAACAAAAAATTAGCCAGGCGTGGTGGTGAGTGCCTGTAGTCCCAGTTACTCGGGTACTAGGGAAGCTGAGGCAGGAGGATCGCTTGAGCCCAGGAGTTTGAGGTTGCTGTGAGCGAGGCTGACGCCACGGCACTCTAGCCCAGGTGACAGAGTGAGACTCTGTCTCAAAAAAACGAAACAAAACAAAAAAAACAATCCACAGTCAAGTTCACATTTCCTTCTTCCTGCAGGGAGCGTGGTGGGAGACAGTCTTCCGTGGGTGGAAGGTTGACGCAGGTGTCCAGCTTGCTGCTGTCTGAGCCCCACCGATGAAGGTCGAGGGTTCAGAGCACAGTGCCTTAGGACCTCTTGACCTTGGCTATACATTAAAATCACCTGGGGAGATTCCAAAAATACCAATGCCTGGATCATTCCCCCAGAGATTCTGTTTGTATTGGCCTCGGGTGGGGCAGCAGTGGTTTCCCAAAGGCCCCCAGGGATTCCAGTTTGCAGCCAGGGCTGAGAACCCCTGGGGTAGTGAACAGAGTCCCAAACTGGGAATCAGGTTCTGGTCCCTGCTCTCCCGCTCACTTGCTTGTGATCTTGGGGGAATTCATTTCCTCCTTCAGTGCCTCGGTTTCCCCTCCTGTGAAATGAGGGCTTTGAGCTACAGTGGTCTGTCAAGTCCCTCTAAAGTCTGAGGCCGCTCCACCAGCCTCTTCTTCGTTCAAGGTCGATGGCTGAGGAAGAACAGCCCCGAGGGACTCACCTGATGGCATTTTTGCTCCTCGCTGAAGGCCACCAGGATGACAGAGATAAAGAGATTCAGCACCACAAACGTCATGAAAACGATGCAGGACCCAATGAGGAAGGAGCCGAGTACTGGGCTGTAGTCCAGGACCTGCCAGGAGGAAAGCTAGGGCCATCCCGTGTCCTGTGTCCTGGGGGCCACCTCCCCTCACTGGTCCTCAGTCCGCAGAGCCTGGAGTGGGAAGGGCCTGGGGGCTGAGGTACGGGCACCTGTGGGCAGGGTCCCAGGGCCCAGGTGGGCTCCAGCACGGGGCTGTCTGTCTAGAGGAGGGGAACAGGCCCGGGGCCCCAGGGATGGCATGGGGGTCCACGCCCCCACCCTGTTACCTCCTCATAGTTGAAGACTCCTAGCTGAAGGCTGATCAGCGTTTCTGCCGCATCAAAGAGGGTTTTGTAGGAACGGAGTTTCCAACCAAATATTAAGTTTGACTGTCATGGAAAGAGTCCTCATGATTAGGGAAAGAAGCCGTGAAGCCCCCCAGAGCCTGTTGTTCGACAGTAGAGTCAGTGATCTGTGTCAGCCACCCCTTTGGCCTGGCCTGAGAAAACCGTCCGTACCTATGGGAGCACGCGCGTGGGTATGTGTACACAGCTGGTTCTGCATGGGATGCGTGTGCTTCTCTCTGTGGGCATGTGTGTGCAAGGTCGCATGCATGTGCCTATGTGCGAGTGTGCGTGTGTACTTCTGTGGGCATCGGCACCTGCATATGTGCACGCGTGTGTGCGTGTGTGCGTGTGTGTGTGTGTGTGTTGTGCTCTGGAAGTGCCTGCCCGGATGACCTCATCCGGGACCTTTGCTATGTTCCCAGCCTGTCTTGTGCTGCAGCTACCACAGGAGAGGGTGCTCAGGCAGTCACCTGCTAAGCCACTGCTGTGTTCCCTAGATGGCTCCCCAAAGACTCAGCAATGAAGCTGGACTCTCAGAGGCCTCTTTGCTCTAGTGGAGTTGGGCTGGATGGACAATGGGGTTCCTCTACCACAACAGCCCTCCCCCGAGACTTTCTTAGGCCTGTGGTGTCAGAAGGAGGCCCAGCACCGCCTGGCTCTGAGTTGGTGACTTCTGGTCCTAGGGGATGCTGCAATGTCCCTGCAGCCCCTGCACCCCCCCACCAAGTAGCCTTGGCTTCCATGGAGATCAGCCCTGAGGTTTTCCCAAAGGAGCCACTTACTGCAATGGAGTATGCCAGGAGCATGGTGAGGATGACAATGATAAAGCCTGAAATGTCACCCCAGGCACGGCGTAGGGCTGATGTGATCATGTTCATTTTGGGATTCAACCTGAGCAGATGCCAGAGCTTCAC